CATATTGGAGTGCCTGGCATAAATCCCAGATCCTCTGCTTCCAATTCAGCTTCCTGCTAACACGAATCCTGGAAGACAGCAGATGATGGCTCAAGTACTTGGGTTCCTGCCACCCCACATGGGAGAACCAGATTGAGTTCCAGGATGCTGACTTCAGCCTGATCCAACCCTGGCTGTTCTGGGAATTTGGCGAATGAACCAGTGAGTGGAAGTTCTCTGTCTCTCTGCCTTTCAAATAAAATGAAAATAAGTAACTTTAACCTCACCAAGTAATGGTTTTTTCCAGTTCAGCAAATCCAAAAGAATGTCCTCAGGACTTAATAACATCGAAACTGAACACTGCCAAGCACATGCACACACTTAGAAGAAAACTAAGTAACACGCATACAGGTGAGGCAAAACCCATTCCTTAAAGAGTAAATTTAAGCAAGCTTGTAACTAAATTAAAAAAAAAAATCCTCTGCAGAAGTTTCTTTTCTAAGACATTAAGTGAAAAAAAGGTTTATTCTAATACCACACTATCCATTTTTTTAAGCAGCTTCTACAAACAAGTGGACTATAGTTAAAGCACTACAGAAAATAAAAAGGTCAATCAAGTAAATGACAACAAAGATGCACAAAGCCACCTAATGTTCAGAGTTTGAGCTAGCGTAACAATTACCATTAATCGATGTCAGCCATCCTTCGTACAGTAATATAAAAATATTACATGTTCCCTGATAGAGATATTATATAACCTAAATCTATGGAGGAATTGCACTTTTGAAAAATTAATCTGATGAATTCAAAGCCACAAAACATGAAAGGGGTGAGGAAGAAAGGAATCTGAAACAGATGGCAGCTAAATTTTTTCCTACGTCCATCTTGAACACAATCCCAATAATGTCAAAATCAAATTTAGCTTTCCAAATAAGTAACCTACAAAATTTAAAATGGCAATTCTGAAGTAAATTCACTATTTTCTTCCAGTTCTCAAAGGTTCTATATTTAGGCAGAAATGAGTAGACAAGTCAGATGTTCAAAAAAGAAAAAACTACCACTCCACAAATTCAGAAGTTCTTTCAGGAATATCTACTTCTACTTCTCTACAGCAACTGAACAAATTTGTATCATGCTTCTATGAGATCAAACATTGTTTCAAGATCCAGTGAATATTTATCCTTTTTAGGGACTAAATCATACCTACATCTATCTTAAAATTTAAAAAGCTCTGAAAGAACACTCACTTGTTTTTTGAGTAAAGAGCACTGTTGGAACATTTTTTTAACATTTCTACAGTAATTCATTCTTGATTTGGCAACACACAAAAAAGTACATTTTGTTCACTATATGATTCTAATATATGGTACATATATAATCCTTCCCAGTCTTTCTGAAAATCTGAAACTATTCAAGAGACAAATATTAAAGGAAGGTTCAGTCACTTTTAGATTTCCTGACAAGCAAATTCCATAACCAACAACTGCAAGATCCTTGGAATGGTCACATACTTTGAGGGTAAGAGGCCACTGAGAAAAGTCTAAGATATCTCCAACAGTCTCTATTTGTTGCATACAACTTAGATAGAACTTTTTACTCCTACAGCTAGTATCTTATTTCTTACATCAAAATAACTGGGTTATTACAGTTTTATAAAAGGAAAGGAAAAAAAATGAGAGCTTCTGATGCCACACTTATAATATTTACATCCCATATCAGAGTGCCAGTTCAAATCTCAATTACTCTGCTTCCAATCCAGCTCCCTGCTAAGGTCCCTAAGAAGCAGCAGAATATGGTTCAAGTATTTAAGTTCCTATCACCCACATGGAGACCCAGGCTCCTGGTTTCAGGCTGGCCCATCCCTGGTTGTTGCAGCCATTTGGAGAGTGAATCAATGGATGGAAGATCTATCTCTCTGCCACTCCTTCAAATCAATAAAAAAAGAATTCTTTAAAAAAAATAGGTATTTCAAAAATTTGAAATTTTTTCTAAAATTTATACAAAACCTATAAACTTTTTAAAAAAGCATTATAAACTTAGTACCCATTTTGCATTAAAAAAAAAACTGCCATTGAAGCAAGTTATTTGGTTTATTCTCCTTTGAATAAAGGGTATATTTAAAAATTAAAAATGACTAACCAGTGAGGCAGACAGTGCCATAGCAGTTAAATCTCCAGTTGAGATATCTGAATCTGTATCAGAGTGCCTGGGCCATGCCTGTCACTGGTTTCTGTTAACCCAGATCCTGGGAGGCAGTTATGGATAGCTCAAGTGTTTGGGTTCCTGTCACCCACATGGGAGACCTGGATTGAGTTCTTGGCTCCTGCCCCAAGTCAGCCCCGGTGACTGTGGGCCCCTGGGGACTGAACCAGTTGATAGGAATGAACTCTCTTTCTCTGTCTCTCAATTCACAAAAATTTTTAAAAATACTAAATGTAAGCTATAGGACTTCATATTTTTTATATTTCTATACTCTGATGATGAATGATTTAAAGGTACATATTTATTCATTTATTTCATAGAGTATTGTATATATGAATTCTGTTAGTTTTGCCAATACTGTGGTCTAAATCTAATTAAGATGAATGATGCTACTGATGGTTTTAATATTGAAATAATTACTTTGTATTTTATATGTCCCAATTTTAATTTTTTGTGTGGGTAATCCTTAAAAAAATTTTATTTATTTATTTGAGAGGTAGAGTCACAGACAGAGAGGGAGAGACAGAGAGAAAGGTCTTCCATCTGCTGGTTCACTCCCCAAATGGCCACAATGGCCAGAGCTGGGCTGATCTGATGCCAGGAGCTTCTTCCAGGTCTCCCACGTGGGTGCAGGGACCCAAGGACTTGGACCATCCTCCATTGCCTTCCCAGGCCATAGCAGAGAGCTGGATTGGAAGTGGAGCAGCCAGGGCTCGAAATGGTACTGTTATGGAATGCCAGCACTGGAGGCGGAGGCTTAGCCCACTATGCCACAGCACTGTGGCCCAATTTTAATTCTTTTTAAAGAGATACGTGATATTATGATGTACACACATTCCTTTTAAATGTTTTTCAGGTCAATCCATACTGTATATACAAATATGGTGCATCTGAGAAAAACCTATGAAATATACTTTGATCGTTTCAATAAACAGACATAACCACTACTATTGAGTTTTAAAGTAGGTACTTGATAAATTAAACTGAGGCTGCTTCCGATCAATTTCTAGAAGCCCATGAAAGCACCTGTTGGAATATTGTTGCTGTTTCCCTATTTCAAACGTTTTTCCACCAAACAGCTATCTTTTAACTCTACTTGATTAATGACAACAATTCACCCTGCACTTCAAAGTTGCTTCTGTTTAAAACAGGCTGTTACTAAAACATATTACCCCTTTCTCACTAGTAAGAATTTTAACTCATTTCACATAAGAAGCAACTAAAGTTCTCTCAGGTTCCATGACTTGCCCAAGGTCAACAACACGAAAGTGGCACAGTCTGGTTTCAATCCGATTTATTTACTGCAAAGCCAATACTTCCACTTGACCACAATTATCTCCTTAAAAGATTAAGACACGGGCTCCACAGCAGCAAATCTTGCCTCTGAACGTTCGCCTCTATTCTGAGACAGCTATACAGTACCTGTGAAGTCAGTGATTGACTGAAACAAACGAGGAAGCTCTTTCTGCTTCATTTTAACTAGGGCAGCTTTCCTGGCAGGTAAGAAAAGAGGTTGGAAAAGGCTTGCCTCAACATGTCTCGCCTAGACCTCTACATCTAAACGGTCTCTCCAGTCTCCTTTTACACACGCGCGCGCGCACACGCACACACACCAAGTCCATCTACAAAGCTACGCCTGGCTAGCCTACAGTCAGAACTGCACTCTCCTAAGACAACTTACACCAGGTTCCATATCGAGCTGAGCGACGGTCGGGTATGCCACTGGCACCTTCCCAACCTCTGAAGTTATCATTGAGACGCAACAAATCCAGCTCCACTCTCTTTCTTCGACGCCGTGACGCCTGCCCACTTGGGGGACACTGCTCCTATAGGACGACGGGGCGAGGGAGCAGCAAAGGAAGAAGTGGGGGAAGCGCACGGAAGTTGGGCGGAGGGAGGTCTCATTACCCACTCTTCTGCCCTCGCTCTGCCAAGGGCGGCTCCCCGCGGTGCCCAGCGACTCAGAACCCCCGCAGCCCGCGAAGCCCGGGTCCGTCCCAGCACGATGAGCAGCAAACCAGAGGAATGGCAAGATGGAACTGCCCCAACCACGCTGCCGAGGTGCACGCCTGCTGCTGGCCCTGGAGGATGCTCCTCCTTTCAGAGCGAGCCCTCCAGGTGGCAAACTCCCGGTCCGCACTGGCCGAAGTCGGGCGCCTCCTCGGCATGCTTCTACCCGGCCACCCGAAACTCTCGGCCCGCGGGGTCCCCCAGCTCTCCCATCCTACCCCCCGCAATCTTTCACAGACACACACGCCGGCCTGCGCCCCACCCGAGATCCCAGCTTCCCCCGCCCGGACCGGAGAAGGACCCCCCACCGGTCCCCTCAAACACACACAAACACCCTCAGACTCCAGCTTCCCGGATCCCGTCGAAGCCGGAGCAAGTACCTGGTCCGGCAGCGCTCCAGGGCTCAAGTGGGGCGGGCGCGGTCTCCTCCCGGAGGCGCCTAGTCCCTCTCTACCCACCCGCAGCGGCGGCTTCTCTTTCCCCGGAGCGGGAGGGAGGACAGGAGGCGGAGGGGAGGGGGAAGGCGAGGAGCTGAGGAGCTACTGGAGCCGAACCGGAAGTACTTAGCGCTGGCCCCGCCCCCGACCTGGAGCCCGCAGAGCGGACCCGCGCTCCTGATAGGACAAACCTGGAGCAGGCGTGCAGAAATCGACACCACCACTTCCGGGTCACCCCCGTGCTGCCACTCCTTAGCAACCGCGTGGGGTTGCTAAGCGGAAGTGCTTTCAGGGACTGCCACCCGGATTTCTTCGGGACTAGCCGGAGGTAGGTTGGGCGGGTGGTCTTGTCTTCTGGCGACACCCTCTTACCCTCTGCTCTTGGTCTTAGACCGCGTGTGCGCTTCGTGGCCAGGGCACAAGACCCACCCTGCTTTTCCCTCAGCGGCACTGTTCCACCTGCTCCCTCCAGCCCTGTGGCCCCGCCTGAGGCTCCTCTTTCCAGTCCCTCCGCGGGAGTTATTTTCTGGCGTTTTAGCGTGCATCTCCCTCTGGTGGATTCCCAATTGTGTTTCAACTAGACTTTTCACATCTTCAGCTTGTGAAAGCTTGTCGTGAACTTGGATCTCCTCTCACAGCCCCTGAAGCCGAAATGGTGAGAAAACTTTTGTCTTCACCTGTTCTTTGGCAAGGATTGTGCGCATTTGTGTATGGTCTGGAAATAGCCTAGCTAAGTGGAAGAGGAAAAAAAAAATCCGAGGGAAATCAGCTAGAGTGATTTTAATCCTTAAAACGGTAAGCAGGGGCCGGCACTGTGGCGCTGTCTGCAGTGCCAGCATCCCACGAGCGCCGGAAAGTGGAGATGGCCCGAGGCCCTGGGCGCCTGCACCTGTGTGGGAGAACAGGAAAAAGCTCCTGGCTCCTGGCTCCGGATTGGCGCAACTCTGGCCGTTGTGGCCATTGGGGGAGTGAATTAGCGATGGAAGACTCTCCCTCCCTCTCTCTCTCTGCCTCTCAAATAAATAGTATATAAAAAAGAAACAAACAGAGGCCTGCATTGTGGTGCAGTGGATTAAGCCAGAGCTTGCAATGCCAGCATTCTGAATCAGAGTGCTATTTCCGGTCCTGGCTGCTCTGCTTCCCATCTTGCTTCTTGGTAATGCACCTGGGAAGGCAGCAGAAGATAGCCCAAGTACCTGGGGCCTTGTCACCCATGGGGGAGAAGCCGCTGGAGTTCCTGGCTCTGGGCTTCAGCTGCAGTTGGTTGCAGCCTTTTGGGGAATGAACCAACAGATGAAGATCTCTCATTCTGCTTTTCAAATAAACAAATAAATCTTTAGAAAAATAATTAGTCTAACATTTATTTTGAGGAAATCCAACACTGTTACTCAATATTAAACTTAATATCCCTGGCATCATTAATACTGAAATACAGAGTTCCATGGGCATCTCTAAATATGAGATACCAAAAGTACTCCAACAATTAACACATGTGGTAAGAAGCAATTTAGTCTAATTATGATTTAAGTGCACCTTACATTCAAAAGACACCCCTTATAGAAGGGATTCAGAGGGGCCAGTACTGTGGCATAGCAGGGAAAGCCACCACCTGCAGCACCAGCATCCCATATGATTATGTTCAAGTCCCAGCTGCTCCACTACAGATCCAGCTCCCTGCTAATGCGCCTGGGAAAGCAATGGAAGATGGCCAGTTGGGCCCCTGCACCCAGGTGGGAGACCCAGAAAAAGCTCCTGGCTTCAACCTGGCTCAGCCCTGGTCATTGTGACCATCTGAGGTGTGAACCAGCAGATGGAAGATCTGTCTCTTCCTCTCTAACTCTGCCTTTCCAAATAAATAAATAAAAATCTTTTTTAAAAAAGTGTGGGGAGGCCGGTGCTGCGGCTCAATAGGCTAATCCTCCGCCTTGCGGCGCCAGCACACCGGGTTCTAGTCCCGGTCGGGGCGCCGGATTCTGTCCCGGTTGCCCCTCTTCCAGGCCAGCTCTCTGCTGTGGCCAGGGAGTGCAGTGGAGGATGGCCCAAGTCCTTGGGCCCTGCACCCCATGGGAGACCAGGAGAAGCACCTGGCTCCTGCCTTCGGATCAGCACGGTGCGCCGGCCGTGCCAGCCATTGGAGGGTGAACCAACGGCAAAGGAAGACCTTTCTCTCTGTCTCTCTCACTGTCCACTCTGCCTGCCAAAAAAAAAAAAAAAAAAGTGGGGGGAGGGATTCAGAGAAACTCAGTAGCACATGTGACATAAACAAAATATTAAGCCTTAGGAGAGAAGACTAGATATGACAATTATCTTTAAATAACTGATGATTCTCGTGTGGCAGGAATAATTGTTATTTCAAAGAATCAAGAATAGAAGGGGTTTAGAAAATTCAAATTTGTAACTCAGCATCTTTCACAATTAGAGTTGCCAACAAACAAAACTGTCCATCTAATAAACAACTGTAACTGGGGCTGCCTGGAGTGCCGGCATCCCATATGGGTGCTGGTTCAAGTCCTGTCTGCTCCACTTCCATTCCCACTCTCAGCTATTGCCTGGGAAAACAGTAGAAGATGGCCCAAGTCCTTGGGCCCCTGCACCCACATGGGAAACTCAGAAGCTCCTGGCTCATGGCTTTGGATTGGCTCAGCTCTGGCCTTTGTGGCCATTTGGGGAGTGAACCAGAGGATGGAAGACCTCGCTATCTCTCTCTGCCTCTCTCTAACTCTGCCTTTCAAATAAATCTTTTTAAAAAATTAAAAAATAAACAGCAGTAACTGTCTTAGTTAAAACTAGATGACTTCTTACATGCCTCCCAGTTTTAATTTAATAAAGATCTCTCTCTGCCACCTCTATATGTCTGCTGTTCTCAAAGGTAGAAGGAATCATTTTAACAGTGTTGGGGGGCTGGCGCTGTGATGCAGCGGGTTAAAGCCCTGGCCTGCAGTGCCGGCATCCCATATGGACGCCGGTTCTAGTCCCGGCTGCCCCTCTTCTGATCCAGCTCTCTGCTGTGGCCTGGGAAACCAGTAGAAGATGCCATGAGTCCTTGGGCCCCTGCACCCAGGTGGGAGACCCGGAAGAAGTTCCTGGCTCTTGGCTTCATATCACTGCAGCTCTGGCTGTTGCGGCCATCTGGGGAGTGAAGCAGCAGATGGAAGACCTCTCTGTCTCTACCTCTTTCTGTAACTCTGTCTTTCAAATAAATAAAATAAATCTTTAAAAAAATTAAAAAAACAATATTGGGTAGACCCAGCTGAACCTTTAATTTTTCCAAAAGTGAATAAGCCTGAAGGAAATGCAGTAGGTTTTTTTTAAAGTGTGTGTGTGTGCGTGTGTGTGTGTGTGTGTGTGTGTAACTAAAGTTAGTTTAGGTTTTATTTTCAGATTTAAAAAAAATTTTTTTGAGAGGCAGAGCAGTAAAGAGAGAGAGAGAGAGAGAGAGAGAGAGATATCTGCCATCCACTGGCTCACTCCCAAATGACCACAAGGTCTGGGTCAGGCCAAAGACAGGAGACAAGATCTCCATGCAAGTTTCCCATGTGGGCGGCAAGGACCCACGTACTCGGACCATCCTTCTCTACCATACTAGGCACATTAACAGGAAGCTGGATGGGAAGTGGAGCAGACAGTACTCCTCTGGGGCTCTGATACTTTGTTTTGAAAAGAATTAGAGGCTGGCACTGTGGCATAGTGGGTAAAGCCACTGCCTGCAGTGCCAGCATCCCATATGGGTGCCAGTTCATGTCCTGGCTGCTCCACTTCCAATCCAGCTCTCTACTATGGCCTGGGAAAACAGTAGAAGTTGGCCCAAGTCCTTGGACCCTTGCACTGCTGTGGGAGACCTGGAAGACGCTCCTGGCTCCGGATCAGCGCAGTTCCGATTTTTTGCGGCCATCTAGGGAGTGAATCAACGAATGGAAGATCTCTCTCTCTCTGCCTCTCCTCTCTCTGTGTAACTCTTTCAAATAAATAAATAAATCTTAAAAAAAAAACAATTTACAAACATTGGTTGTATTTGTTTTTAATTTTTTAATTCATTTGAGAAACAAAAAGAGCGCCCATCCACATGTTCACTTCCTTAGATGCCCCCAATGGCTGGAACCAGGCCAAAACCGGAGCCACAAAAGCAATCCATGTTTCTCACATGGCTGTGGTAGTGATCCAACTGCTTGATCCATAACCGCTGCCTCTCAGGGTTCACGTTACAGGCAGCTGGAGCCAGGTATCAAATGCAAGTACTCCACTATGGAACACTGATGTCTTAACCACTAGCCCAAACACCCATCCCAACATCTGTCATTTAAATAACCTTTTAAACACACTTTACAATTTAAAGTATCTATTCTTATTTTATGAAACAATGAAAACACAATGTACATATGATCCTCACAGTGCTCTAGGATTCAAAAATCCCCGAGCATTTTTTTTTAATTTGACAGCGTTAGGCAGTGAGAGAGACAGACAGACAGACAGAAAGGTCTTCTGTTGGTTCACCCCCAAATGGCCGCCACGGCCAGAGCTATGCCGATTGGAAGCCAGGAGCCAGGTGAATCCTCCTGGTCTCCCACGCTGGTGCAGGGGCCCAAGCACTTGGGCCATCCTCCCCTGCACTCCCGGGCCACAGCAGAGAGCTGGACTGGAAGAAGAGCAGCTGGGATTAGAACCCGGCGCCCATATGGGATGCCAGCGCTGCAGGCAGAGGATTAGCCAAGTGAGCCACGGCGCCGGACCCCCCGGAGCATTTTTAGTCACTAATTGGTCAAAAATAACACCAGCATTAATACTTTGAATGATCCAATCAAGGAGGAAAACCTAATCAGCTTTTGGAGGAAGGGTATAAAGCCTAAAACTTAGTTTCTTTTTCAGTGAATAAATTTTACTTTTTAATTCATTTTAAATGAAAATAAGAAGTCTGTTTCTTGTATGTTTAGAAAAGCTAAGTTGTCATGCTACATTAAAAAAAATCTTTATAAAGCACAGAGTGGATCCGGCACTGTGGCACAGTGGGTTAAACCACAACCTGCAGCAATGGCATCTCATATGAGCGCTGGTTTGTGTCCTGCCGCTCTACTTCTGATTCAGCTTCCTGCCAATACACCTGGAAAAGCAGCAGAAGATGGGGACCCTGCACCCACATAGGACTGGGAAGAAGATCCTGGTTCCTGGCTTCAGCATTGCCCATCCCCAGCTGTTGAGGCCATTTGGGGAGTTAAACAACACATGGAAGATCTCTCTCTCTCTCTCTTCTCTCTGTAACTCTGTCTTTCAAATACATAAATCTTTATACAAAAAGAAAAAAATGAAATAGATTACACAGGACCTCTGCCTAATAAAAGTGAGATATATAAAGTATACTTGAAAAAACTTTAGGTTCTTTAACATTCAAATTTTTAGAAATAATTACCTATCAAAAAATGAGACCCATCAAATGGGCACTGATCAAAATGAGACCTCACTGGGCACCCTACCATAAACTTTCTTCATCAGTGAAAAATAGCAAATCAAGTTGCAGACACACTCAAACTTGACTTTAACTAACTTGATTCAAGCTTCTTAAAGCTAATTATCAAAGCAGTATTTGGGATAAAGAATTCTCTCCAATTCATTAACATTCTTTTTAGTATCTGTCTCTAAAAGTCAAAGCAAAAAATGTCATGTACAATGATCAGGACAGTTTGGAAGTTAATAAAATCAGGTCAATGTACTGATGTGTATATGAAAGGAATAAAATAGAAACATCTGGGGACCGGCAGTGGATTAAAGCCCTGGCCTGAAGCACTGGCATCCCATATGGGCACTGGTTCTAGTCCCAGCTGCTCCTCTTCCGATCCATCTCTCTGCTATGGACTGGGAAAGCAGTAGAAGATGGCCCAAGTCCTTGGGCCCCTGCACCCACGTGGGAGACCCGGAAGAAACTCCTGGCTCCTGGCTTCAGATTGGCACAGCTGTGGCCATCGCGGCCATCCGGGGAGTGAACCAGCGGATGAAAGACCTCTCTCTCTCTCTCTCTCTCTACCTCTCTCTGTAACTCTGTCTTTCAAATAAATAAAATAAATCTTAAAAAGAAAAAGAAACATCTGGTAGGACATAATCTTAGGAAGCACACAAATGAATAGTATTCTGGAAGTAAGCATTATTTATTAAACAAATTTCAGAAAAAAACATGCCTGTTAAAACACAATTAGTTTTGACAACAGACTGTCAGGAAGCAGAATATGTGATAAGAAAGCAAGAATATCAGTTACCAAGTAATATTATACCCACCTCTTCAATTATATGACTGGTTATCTTGAAAAACAGTATTTCTAAAGGACTTTAGAGATACAAAATTCTGGGTATGGAATGATTTGCTTTTCATGTTTTATTAATTTCCAACTTTAAAAGTATAGGCCTAAAGTATATCATTTTATGATACTGAGTAAAATGTATGTACTACAAGAACTCCTCTCTATTAGTGTAGTCTGTGGAATCTTCCTCCTGATTCTAGTCTAGTATTTTATCTTGATATTGCAATAAGAGCTTTGATGACCAACCGTTTAAACTGTCAAAAACAAACTGTCCTTAATTTTTTCTAGGGAGAAGATATCCATCCAAATTTTTCAACATTGCATCTTTGGCATCCTTTCTGAAAAAAGGTAGAGATCAAGTTTAATTAATACTGAATTTTTTAAATGTGCAAAAATCTAACTCCGCTTTTTAAGCAAATAAAAGGAATAAGATATGGCACCATCCCAATAATCAAATGGCAATAAAAATGGCATCAGTACAAAGATCTAAGCAAATCTCAAATATAGCAGATTAGTAATTTGAACATCGTGCAATGATTTGATTTTTTTAAAAACAATAAGCTTAATAACAGGAGGAACAAAATACTGCATTCTATTGAATATTAAGCTAAGATAACCTTACAGATTCTCCAATTTCAGAACTATTTGCTTTTGAACAACTAAATTTTAGCCTCATTTTTTAAATTAAATTCCTATTCAACAAAGATAATTGGAACAAACACATCTATGCAAATTTACACCCTAGAATACCAGAGTAAACCGGAGACATTATTCAAAGATGAATAAGGAAGTTCTATTCGTTTTCATCATCTGTGTCATCGGGTTGCAAAGGACGTGGTCTGTGGAAAGAATAAAGAACTTCAATAGTCACTCAAGCCTCAATTGTTTAAAAAAACAATTGTTTAAATAATGGGGCCAGCATTGTGGCATAGCGGGTACAGCCACTGCCTGCAACACCAGCATCCCATATGAGCAACAGTTCATGTCCTGACCGCCCCACTTCCCATCCAGCTCACTGCTAATGGCCTGGGAAAAGCAGTAGAAAATGGCCCAACTCTTGGGTCCCTGCTATCCATGTGGGAGACCTAGAAGAAGCTCCTGGTTCCTGGCTTCAGCCTGGCCCAGCCCTGGCTATTGCAGCCATCTGGGGAGTGAACCAGTGGATGAGAGACCTCTCTCTCTGTCTTTCCTTCTCTCTCTGTAATGCTGACTTTCAAGTAAATAAATAAATCTTTGAAAAACAAGAAGAAATAATTACAGGGGCTGGTGCTGTGGCGCAACAGGTTAAAGCCCTGGCCTGAAGTTCCCGCATCCCACGTGAGCGCCGGTTGTAGTCCCGGCTGCTCCTCTTCTGATCCAGCTCTCTGCTATGGCCTGGGAAGGCAGTGGAAGATGGCCCAAGTCCTTGGGCCCCTGCACCCACATAGGAGACCAAGGGGAAGCTCCTGGTTCCATTCTTCAGATCTGTGCAGCTCGGGCCGTTGTGGCCATCTGGGGAATGAACCAGTGGATGGAAGACCTCTCTCTGTCTCTACCTCTCTCTCTAACTCTGTCTTTCAAATAAATATAATAAATCTTAAAAAAATAATTACAAATTTATACATAATTCAGGAACATTAACAGTGCAATGAGTCTGGTCAAGTGAATAGAAATGAGAGAAAATTAAACACTATTAATTAGTAAATGCCTACAAATTTCAAGTACTAGACCAACACAACTTTCTAACTATTTTGCCTGTTGATTTGCTGCATCAGTGTTTCTCCTTGATAATATGTTGCCATTTTTTCTTAAAGAGGAAACATCTATTTCTATAGCATCTTCTTTCAGCATGTTAAGTTGATTGATAAATAGCATTTAATCCTCCAACAAGAACCTTGCAAATAATTAATCCATTTGAACAGAGAAAACATACAGCAAGTTGTCATATTTGATGGTAACCCTTCTGAACCTTATGAATGTATTACCTAGTTAGAAAAACTCCAAAATTATTTTTGTTATTGTAGTTATAACTCTTTTTAATGCTTATTCATTTTTATTTATTAGAAAGGCAAAGCAATGGAGGGAAGGAGGGTGGGAGGGAGATCATCCATCTCCTGGTTCACTCCCCAAATGCCTGCAACAACCAGGGCTGGGCCAGGCCGAAGCCAGGAGCTGGGAACTCCATCAGGGTCTCCCATGTGGGAGACAGACTCAAGTACTTGAGCCATCATCTGCCTCCTAGGCATATTAGCAGAAAGCTGGACCTAAAGGCAAAGAGAAGATTCTATCCCAGGCACTCTGATACGTGATGCTGATTGTCCCGAGCAGCAATTTAACCAACAACGCCTGTCCTGGTAGTTGTAGCCTTTGAAAAACAATTTACGTTATCCCAAAGCTATTTTGTATTTGTTACAGTTTTTATAGGGAAAAGGTCAATTAAGAACTTAATCATAAAGCTGACAGATTTGTGAAATCTAAAATATTTAGTTTTCAAATTAGATCAGTAGACTGAATGGTCATAGACCTAAGTAAGAAAGATGGAAGCTAAAACAAAGGTGTTCAGATTTGGTTTAAAATTATCATTGACTCATGTGCTATTACAGAGATCTTCCTTGTATTTTTCTGAAAATTAAATCAATTTAACAAATTAACACTATAGTGACCTGAACTTCCTTTTTTAAAAATATTTATTTATTTACTTGAAAGTCAGAGTTACACAGAGAGAGAAGGAGCAGCAGAGAGAGAGAGAGAGGTCTTCCATCTATTGGTTCACTCCCCAGTTGGCTGCAATAGCTGAAGCTGTGCCAATCTGAAGCCAGGAGCCAGGAGCCAGGAGTCAGGGAGCTTCTGGGTCCCCCGTGCAGATGCAGGGGCCCAAGAATTCATGTCCTCTTCTACTGCTTTCCCAGGCCATAGCAGAGAGCTAGATTGGAAGAGGAGTAGCCAGGACTCGAACTGGCACCCATATGGGATGCCGGCACTGCAGGCGGCAGCTTTACTCACTATGCCACAGCGCTGACCCCTAAACTTCCATTTTCTTTTTTTTTTTTAACTTTTATTTAATGAATATAAATTTCCAAAGTACAGCTTATGGATTTAAACTTCCATTTTCACAAGGACTTGATTTACTTTAGGCATCATAAATCTGATCAATATTTAAGGAGATAGTCTCTTGATTCTGATTCTCCCCTATGCTACTGATGGAAGTTTATTCAAAAGGGAGGAAAACAAGGCCATAGGTGTAGTAATCATGTTCCAGAATATAAATTAAGGAGTTTATGGTATAAGTCTTTCTGATAAACACATTTACTTTTTTTTTTTTTTTTTTTTTTTTTGACAGAGTGGACAGTGAGAGAGACAGAGAAAGGTCTTCCTTTGTCGTTGGTTCACCCTCCAATGGCGCACCGCACTGATCCGATGGCAGGAGCCAGGTACTTATCCTGGTCTCCCATGGGGTGCAGGGCCCAAGGACTTGGGCCATCCTCCACTGCACTCCCAGGCCACAGCAGAGAGCTGGCCTGGAAGAGGGGCAACCAGGACAGAATCCGGCGCCCCGACCGGGACTAGAACCCGGTGTGCCGGCGCCGCTAGGCGGAGGATTAGCTTATTGAGCCGCAGCACCAGCCAACATTTACTATTTCAAAACAGGGATAACTGCACTCTCTTAAAAAAAGGCAAATCTAATAAATAGACCTTAAAATAAATTAAAACTCTATCATGAGGCCGGCGCCGCGGCTCAATAGGCTAATCCTCTGCCTTGCGGCGCCGGCACACTGGGTTCTAGTCCCGGTCGGGGCGCTGGATTCTGTCCCGGTTGCCCCTCTTCCAGGCCAGCCCTCTGCTGTGGCCAGGGAGTGCAGTGGAGGATGGCCCAAGTACTTGGGCCCTGCACCCCATGGGAGACCAGGAGAAGCACCTGGCTCCTGCCATCGGATCAGCACGGTGCGCCGGCAGCAGTGTGCCGGCCGTGGCAGCCATTGGAGGGTGAACCAACGGTAAAGGAAGACCTTTCTGTCTGTCTCTCTCTCACTGTCCACTCTGCCTGTCAAAAAAAAAAAAAAAAAAAAAAAAAAAACCTCTATCATGTAATTTAATGTTACAGATTTTATTATATCATGGATTGAAGTTCTTTATAAGCCTATACATACAAGGATATTTCAAAAAGTTTGTGAGGGGAGGGCATTTGGCCTAGCAGTTAAAATGCTGGTTAGGACACCACATCCTGTATCAGATGCCTTGGTTCACTTCCTATCTCCACTTCCCATTTCAGCTTTCTGCCAATGCAGACCCTGGGAGGAAGCAGGTGATGTCTCAAGTAGTTGGGTCCCTGCTACCCATGAGGGAGACATGGATTGAGTATCCAGCTTCTGGGTCTGTCATAGTGATTATGGGCATTTGAGGAATGAACTAGCAAATGGAAGCTATCATTCTCTCTGCCTCTCAAAAAAAAAATCATGGAAAAATGGAGTATAAAGCAAGTTTATTTTGAGGTAAAAATATTTTGAAATCTATGTATAATTTTTTCATAATACTCATTTTCCATGAACATTTTGAAGACTCCCCCAATGGGATGGGGCACTGTGGTGGTGAAGCTGCTTCTTGGGATGTAGACATCCCATAGTGGAATGCCAGTTCAAGTCTCCACTACTCTACTTCTCATCCAACTCCCTGTACCAAGTTAGCAGCAGAGAATGTATCAAGTACTTGAGTTCCCATCATCCATGTGGGAGACCTGCACAGAGTCTGTGGCTCCTGGCTTCAGCCTAGCCCATCCCTGGTTGTTGCAACCATCTGAGGAGTGAACTAGCAAATGGAAGTTCTCTCTCTGTGTGTCTCTGTTTCATTTTTCCTTTCAAATCTTAAAATTCATATATATTTTTTAATTGTTTGTAATCAATATTTGAATTCCATTTTCCATGAATTTTTGTAATACCTGTACATTTTTGTAGGCATAGTGCAGTATTTCAACACATGCATACAGTGCAAATTGATCAAATCATGTAATTAGCATTCTTGTTTCCTTATATTTTGTTTATATTTGGAGCCCACCAGCTACTCTTTTCCAACTCTTCATATGATATATAATATAGTATTGTGAACTGTAGTTGCCCCATTGTTCTGTCCCACAGATTTTTTGAAGTATTCTCTTATAACCTCTTTCAATATTATGAAAAACCTATAATGAAAGTTTTATTCCATTCTTGTGATAATCAGTTTATAAACACATTTCACTATATTGCCAATTATCTTATTTCCGTAATGTAAGTCATAAATATTTCAGGAAGATTGAAATACATTCTAGAGCAAATCTTTTTAAAACTGTTCATTTATTTTCATCTATTTTAAAGGCAGAGAGTGAAAAGAGAGAG